TTCTTATGGTTTGAGGTTTTACATTTAGGTCTCTGATCCATTTGGAGTTAACCTTTGTGCATGGGGATAGATAGGGGTCCTGTTTCAACCTTCTGCATGTGGTCAGCCAGTTTTCCCAGCACCATTTACTGAATAGGTTCTCCTCTCCCAGTGGTAGGTGGTGGAGGCCTTGTCGAAGATGAGTTGGTTGAGAAATTGAGGTTTTGCTTCTGAAATCTCAATTTTATTCCATTGATCTATATGCCTGTTCCTATACCAATACCAAGCTGTTTTGATGATTGTAGCTTTATAGTAAAGTTTGAAGTCTGGTAATGTGAAACCACCTGCTTTGTTTTTTTTGCTGAGGATTGTTCTGGCTATTCTTGGACGTTTGTGTTTCCATATGAATTCCTGTGTTGTCTTTTCTAGGTCTGAGAAGAATGTTGCTGGTAATTTGATGGGTATTGCATTGAATTTGTAGATTGCCTTAGGTAAGATGGACATCTTCACAAGGTTGATTCTTCCAATCCATGAGCATGGGATATTTTTCCACTTGTTTGTGTCATCTTTGATTTCTTTGAGCAGTGTTTTGTAATTTTCATTGTAAAGGTCTTCCACATCTCTGGTTAGGAAGATGCCAAGGTATTTCATTTTTTTTGTGGCTATTGTAAATGGAATTGTGTCTTTTATTTGGGTTTCTGTTTGTTTCTTATTGGTGTAGAGAAATGTGATTGTCTTTTGTACATTTATTTTGTATCCTGAGACTTTGCCAAAGGCCTTTATCAGTGTAAGGAGGTTTTTGACAGATTCTCTTGGGTTTTCAAGGTACACAATCATATCATCTGCAGAGAGAGATAACTTGACTTCCTCTTTTCCTATTTGGATACCCCTGATTGCCTCCTCTTCTCTGATTGCTCGAGCCAGGACTTCCAATACTATGTTGAACAGGAGGGGTGAGAGTGGGCATCCTTGTCTTGTTCCAGTTTTCAGGAGAAATGGTTCCAATTTTTGTCCATTTAGGAGTATGCTGGCTGTGGGTTTCTCGTAGATGGCTTTTACTATTTTGAGGTGTGTTTGTTCCCCGTATGCCTAGATGTTCAATGGTTTTTATCAAGAAGGGGTGCTGGATTTTATCAAAAGCTTTTTCTGCATCTAATGATATGATCATGTGGTTTTCATTTTGACATCTGTTGATGTATTTAATTACATTAATGGTTTTACGAATGTTGAACCAGCCTTGCATCCCAGGAATGAAGCCTACTTGGTCATGATGGATGATTTTTGAGATGTATTGCTGAATCGGTTTTTTAGGACCTTGTTGAGAATTTTAGCATCTATGTTCATCAAAGATATTGGCCTGTAGTTCTCTTTCTTTGTTGGATCTTTACCTGGCTTAGGTATCAATGTGATGATGACTTCATAAAATGATTTGGGGAGAGTTCCATCGTTTTCAGTCGCCTGGAATACCTTCAGTAGAATTGGTATCAGCTCCTCCTTAAATGTCTTGTAGAATTCTGCTGGAAAGCCATCTGGACCAGGGCTTTTTTTTGTAGGAAGTTTTCTTATTACGTAGTCGATTTCCTTGATTATTATTGGTCTATTTAGGGTCTCAATTTCTCCTTGTTCCTATCTAAGTAGGTTGTGTGATGTCAGAAAGTCCTCCATTTCCTTAAGGTTTTCAAGTTTGTTTCCATACAAGTGTACGTAGTAGTCTCTAATGATCTTTTGTATTTCTTC